ATTCATGTACCCGTTGATGTGAGTTACTGAGCGAAAATGCCTTCGGATGAACCATCAGCCATCTTTGACCGCGTGTGCGATCGTGTCCAAATCCTATGGCCTGGGACTGGTGCAATTACCGAAATCAGGCTGAGACAACCGACCGCCTCTTGGTGTCGTCACCTATCCCGATGCATGCTGTGAAGTGGACTTCATTGCGGACGAACGCATTGTGGAGAGAATGGGAAAAACATGGCACCAGTATCTCGTTCACTGGGCCCGACCTCATCTATTGGGGTGCACGCGATCATGGGTGATAAGCCGCTTTATGAAACATTGTCCCGAAGCGTTGGGTGTGTACACGCGTTGGCGGCAACATCCTGGCAACTTAACGTACTCCGAATACCGAGTATGCGACACTCGTTTTTTGGAATTTGGTGAAAATCCAACAAAAACCTGCCTTTTTCAAGCGTTCAAAATTATCAGCGACAAGTTGGGCCTGCATTTACGCGCCACTGCAGCCGATTTGGTGTTATTTATGACAACCAACTCCATCCCACTGTCCCATGGCATTCCCTCATCCAAGTTACGTGCCTTTGTCCAGTTTCTGTTCGCGAAGGGGCTCCGGATTTGCTTGAAGACGTTTGCGTCTGAGTTGCTTACCAATCAAAGTGGCGATCCGAAGTTGGATTTGTACCGTATCGTCCTCGCGGAAGGCAACGGCATGTTTCTAGTCTCAACCATATCAGGCCACACCGCCCATGTATGGATATTGACGTGCGTTGGCTCCGTTTCCGAGTTGACAGATGCTGAAGGAACAATCGGGGTCCGAGAACTCCCTAGCGTTGATTTTGTTCGCGCAGTCCGTTGCATTGTTGTTTGTAAAGGTAGAAAGCGTAATTGAAAGCGAGCGCGTACGTAGTAGTTTTTTGTTTGAAGTATTCGCAGTCAACATGATTAATCATGCACGGGTTTTTTCAATATATCTTGTCGTCAACAGTCCAGCCTTGTCTGCAGAAACAACAAATAACAACGAAATGAGTTCAACGTCATCACTACAGTTCCACCGCAACAAAGCAAACGGACCATCGACGTAGCATGTTGGACATCAACCGCTACAGTAAATACGACGAGATAACCATTCATAGGGATATGTCGTAGTTTCGACTGAACATACGCACGTCATCGGCAAATGCTACAAAGGGATATACATACGTGGGCTGATAATGCGATGTGCGTGTCGAAGGGTGCTGGGCTGGTTGTGGACAAGGGAACTCGAGTGACCCGAGGTGCTTGGACTGTAGGCATACGACTGGTTGTAGGATTCGTTGAAGTGGAAGGGGACGTTGATGCATCCAATGAGCAATAATGATCAATGGTGAAACGAAACGATGATTGAGACATTTAGCAAGTGCGGAATTTGAACAAATTCCAGAAATCTTCTTCGTTCGAATGTAACCCGGGAATTTGATTCGGGAATTTGAAATTATACATTTAGCAACTGCGGAATTTGATGTTTCAACGTCACAGGAGGTTCAAGGCTTTTGATTGGCTAAGTTAACACAGACATGTGACCAGTCATAAAGATGCGTCCTCGTACCGCCCTGCTTGCTGCACGCCTTGCCAGACGACAACCATTGCTCCTCCAACGACTTCGTGTAATCTTAAAACAACGACGCGCAGCAACCGAGCGGTTGACCATCCCAGATGTGACATTCAGCTTGTCGATCTACAGTGATGCGGATTGTCTGGACAAGTTCCGATTCACCAGAGCGGACATTCAACGACTTGCCACCAACTTCGGGTTGCCTGAACTCATTGCGACGCGTGAACGAATTTCGTGCCCTCGCACGGAAGCAGTGTGCATCCTACTTCGGCGATGTGCTCTCCCAGACAGATGATCCGACCTCATCGACATGTTTGGGCGATCATGCAGTGGCATGTCAAACATCTTTTTGCACCTTGTGGACCTAATTTACGACCGCTATCAGCATATCCTGTTCCTGGACCTCAACCGAATTGCTAGTCGGCTGGATGAGTTCTGCTCAGCCATTTTAAACCGAGGTGCCAAAATCGACAATGTTTGGGGTTTCATCGATGGAACCGTGCGAGGGTGTTACCGTCCAAGTGGTGGCACTGAGCAACGAACCATGTACAACGGCCACAAGCGGAAGCATGCGATCAAATTCCAGACCGTGGTGACGCCGGATGGCCTGATATCACATGTCTTCGGGCCAATTGAAGGGCGACGCCATGACTTGACGCTTTTGCGCAAGTCGTGCCTTGACGCTTTTGCGCAAGTTGTGCCTTGAAAACGTCATCGCTTCGAATCCAAGGTTTCGGGGGTACATCATCTACGGGGACCCAGCGTATGGCCGTTCGGACCAATTGGCTTCTCCGTTTTCCGGTGCTCGTCTGACAGAGGCGCAAAAGCATGTCAATGCGAGTATGAGTCGCGTGCGGGTGAGTGTCGAGTGGTCGTATGGGCAAATCCTGCAGTATTGGCCAATTGAGGATTTCAAAAAGGTCAAACTAGGTTCCGGCCCAGCGTCAAAGCTCTACAAAGTTACCGTGCTGCTGACAAATTGTGTTACTTGTGCACGCCAGCGTAACGCCAACAGTGTTTACTTTGGGTTAAAGCCACCAACGTTAGAAGAGTACCTTGATGTATCAAGCCGAGAAAATGTATTTGTGATTTAACAATTAAGTGCCATTTGATATTTCTTTTTGCACTCAATGACTTACAGTTATTTTGTCAATAGTATCTTTTTTCGAAAAAAACGGAATTTGGGTGTGGTGTCATCACCAAGGAGGACGATAGATAATCCAAACTACTTTTGTTGATTACCCATGAATTGCATCATAACACCCACAAGATTTTCTAGTTGGGTGCTCTGTAAGCGGCGCAGGCGCTGCTCCTCGTTGTCGAATTTTAGCCGCTCCATTCGGTACTTGTGGTCATCCTCGTGCCGCTGCTTCTCAAATTCCAATAAGTCGTTCAAGGATGATTCTACCGAATCGTCTTGCGAACTCCCGGTAGACAATCGCGACGACGACCACGTCTTCGACCTCTTCGCTACACGGATTTCGGCTTCACGACAGAGCTTGTCACCGGTGCTCTCAAGCACCTTCTTCTTCTCACTCTCCTTGACCCGCTTTCGTTTCTTCGATGAGGCCACTTCATCCATGCGCATGATGAGGTCCTGCAGTAGCTGAACCTTCTCGGTGACATCCTCATCGGTTCCACTTGAGAGTTGTTGGACCTTGTCCTCTTGCTTGAATTGCTTGAGCATCGCGTCGACATGCTCACGAGCACCACGGTAGTTGATCTTGGGCTCGTGAGCGCTCAGGCCACTTGCAACCAGTTTCCAGCGTTGCAGCAGATCACCGTGGTCAGCGGCGAATGGTTCGATGCGCGACACTTCACGAAGAAGCTCTACCTCAAGGTCCTCCGTCCATGTGATGTACGTTTTGAGTGCTCGAGGCTGTGTCTCGGCCATTGAGAGCAATGCCAAGTGCATGCTTTACAGGACACCACGAACTTCTACCACCTGAATTTTAATTGGCTTGAGCGTTTCTGAAATACAATATACTGTATGGGCTTTGAAATATACGAAATCGGCGTGCCATTTCGTACATTTGAGGCAAATTCCGAGTGGAATTTGGCCACCACGAAGTTCGTAGCAGTGAGTAACCCGAAGTTAGATTCCTGTAATTTCAAATTACAGGATTGCTAAATGTGTCTGATGTTGTGAATGTAGAAGTACCGGAGCTGATATGATTGGTGTCGAGTAGAGATGCGTGCGATGAGCTTGATACCAACTACTTCGAAGTAGCAGCTGAGTGTGTTTGGTGCGAACACCATGTTTCGAAACGTAAATCGAATTTGGAATACTATTAAATTTCGCGGTGTTTTTTGAAATTTAATACGACGACAATATGCCATGCGTGAATGCCTCAAACAGAAACATACCACGTGAAAGTGTCCTTTCAATGGCACCACGCGCGATACACCGAAAAACCACGTGCGAAAATTTCATACCCAATCATCAAAGCCAGCAGCAAGATATGCGGTGCATGTACACTATGCAACGCATAACTTGCTGCTGGCTTTGATGATTGACAGTAGTACAGTAGTGAATTCCCCACCCCCAATGCTGATAGCTGTGGTGAAATTACTCTTGTGGATGCCGAGCATTTGCTGGAACAACTCAACTACCGGTATAATTGCTGTTTATTGTTAGATCATACTAGTACATGATGCATTCGGTGAATCTTTGTCATTACAGGTATGGCAGTCAGTCATAAAGCAAACATAAGTGCATTCACGACACTAGTAGGTCGTTCTACAATTACGTATTTAACGATAACTATAGCGCTTCTTTTTCATTTATGTAAACTACTGTACTTGAACCAACAGAACAATCTGAATGCGGTAATTGTGAAAGAGCAGGGAAACAAAACTGCAAGTACTAACTGTAAATGTGACCATTGAATACCTATTGAGTCACTTAAGTACTGTACTTACTTTGTACATACACGCTCACTGATTATAGGAAATGCTGTAGCAAGGTTAGTTAACGTAACATTAAGTCGATGATAAGTCGATGGACGAGTACACAGCACACTATAGGAACTCGTACGCAGCCAATATCTGCGCGCAGATTGCGAGCTCCAGTGAAAGGCATGGGGATAGTGTAATGAGCTTACTGTAGACACAACTTGTATTGTGCATAAGTCGACAACACCTAGTAATCCAACCTTGACAGTACTAGTATGTCTTATATCTCATGTCTCATCGAGCTCTTGAATAAACCACAGTGAAATTTTTTCTACCCGTTTTAAGAGTTTGTACGATCAATTGTCAATGTAGCTATATTTGCATTCAGGCTGCATAAACTAGTGAAGGGTTGAATGGATAAGTGTGCGTTGGAACTTGCTTTGAGTAGTGTAGTGTAATACTCAAGTACAAGGTTGGACGTATGCTGAAGTACGAAGAGGGTGTTTGATTGTATGAGGAACTACCAGGACAGACAGCTAGTATTTGCTAATCCTGCAAGCTATAAAACTTCTGAGGGGAGCATAGTAGTTGAGGGGGAGCATAGTAGCTAGGGGAAGCATAGTAGCTGAGGGGAAGCATAGTAACTGAGGGGAAGCATAGTAGCTGAGGTGGAGCATAGAAGCGGAGGGTATGAATAGTGATTATGGATAGATATGTACTTACTACTTACTACCCTGGACGATCTCGTCACCAGCAAGTGGACGACTCCAGCTTATACATTTCAACCCCTACGGTACGTGAAACGACTTGGTGACCCAAATAGTACCTACATCTAACTGCTGTATACAGTCACATTCATCAATGGCTCCCAGCAGGAACAGTTTTGTCCTGCTACAGTACCAGTACTTGTAGATAGCTGCCAAGTTAAGTTAGAGAAATTAGGATTGCTGCTTGATGTGTGACGCGGCCAGCAAAAGGAATTGATTGATTTCAAGAAAAGTAAAAATTTACGCAGGGGTTCGAACCAGCGACCTCTGCCACTCCAACCACAGCTTCTACCCAGTGAGCTAATCATGCCACGGCATTAGTCGCTGAATAATAAACCATTTCACGAGTTTAATGAGCTACGCTTGTACTACGTAGTACTATTCTGTGCTGGAAATTTGGCCTATTAATGGTGCTTCGAAGTGTACTACGCAGTTCTACCGTTACTAACGTTAATACGATAATTCCGTCATCCACTGCAGAATCATCAACAATCGCCGTTCATCTGTACGTACATGAATGACTTCCACCTCGCGATAAAGATGCCCTAGCAGGAATAACTACAGTAATAGTAAACCCTAGCAGGAATAACTACAGTAATAGTACATGATGCTTACTCAGCCAAGGGAGCATGCGGAACAGTAGGCGTAGCCACACATCACCCTGCACCGGGGGAGGAATCCGACATGTCCGC